GAATTTCTTTTTGATACAGTAGAAGGACAGTTGCCTGGTTAAATTATCTAGAACTAGCATGCTGTTATGTCCAGATTCATCACGTGTCTTATTTTCCTTAGCATGACATGATTTCTGTTAATTATTCAACAGACTGGAGTTACTACACTCTTACTCTCGAAATAATTTGTATTGCTTTCTCTAAGAGTCAAATGATGTATTCTAATTTAACAAAATGCTGTCATGAATCTGTTGCTAGTTGCTACACTTGGCTGTATCCACTAAAGAATGGGATATTTTTCGCAAGTTGCCATTTTATCAGTCTTTGGTGTTTAATCTTTAGTCATATCTTTCTTATAGCCCTGAGTATAAGATAATGAGGCAGTTGAGTTGATGATTGGTGCTTGCTGGTGAAATCTTTAAAATATAGTAAGAAGAATTATTATATTTGTTATTTCTGTTGCTATATGATCTTTTGTCATTTGAAAATCAGTCAAAATAATCTTTTTTGTAGCCAGCCATAGATTTGATATTGCGAAATTCCTTACAACCAACTGCATTGTGTCAATAATTAAACTACTACCTTTGTTTATAGCCAGCAAGTTTGATTAGCAAATGATTCTATCAAGTGTTTGAAGATGTGCTAATGAAGCCAAACCCCGTGTATATTTAGCCCCAGTTTGACAATCATTATTTCAAAATTCTATTTTTTTACATACTCATTCTTAACCACACATTCACCCAATAAAATATTCCGCTCGTAAACCCAAAATTTTTTCCATACTTTTTAAAAACACATTCTCTAAACAATCACTATTCAAGATTTTATTTTACTCAAATAATGATTGTCAAATAGGGGCCTAATTCATGCATCTCTTAGGGCTGGACTAGAAATTTGACTGAAGTATTTACCCTATCTAAGTTGATTCCGAATGTTCATCTCTGTTTCGACTATTGCGTCTGAAATAAAACACGAGTTTTAACTTGAAAATTTATTTTAAGTGAATATTACACGTCAATTCTACAATTGATAGTGGTCTAAGGAAAATGAGAAGGATGCATTTTCCACTCATTTGAGAGAGGAAATTTTGTTTCCTCTACCCTTTCTTTATTTGGGGGAAATAATGAAACTTTGATAATGAATTTGTCCTATTCTTCATTTTCCTCTCATTTTAACTTCATGGCCTGCCATTTCTCTTTTCCCTCCATTCGATCACGCTAAACACACCAAGATACAAGTTGTCAAAAGTGTACAACTTTTTTCTGTCGACAAAATCCTCAATACAAATAATCTTTTATTGTGGACTTTTTCCTTTGATGGACAAGACTATATTTTAGTCAAGTTTTCAATAAAAGAAGTGACATATTCAACAAAAAAATCATGGAAATCAAATTAAAGTGGTCCCGGATAGAATATAAAAATTGCATTGTAGGTGATCTTCTTACTCTTACTAGGGTGAGTTTGATACACTCGACATTTCTCCTGAAGGGCTCTAGAGCGTTTGTTTGACCACTTTCAATAGAATAATGTTTTGAGTCATTTAGTTGAGGATGGTTGTTCGAACTAAATTCTCAATACAAATAATTGAGATCTATGCGTATTTTTATCTTTAACTAGATGATTATTATTAATTTGCTTAAATCTATGGATTTTCAAGTTTTCTTCTTGGACCCCCATTTTTAAATTTTCCATCAACATCTTGACTCTCTCAAGAATCAAGATACTGCAGTTAATTTTCTTGAAAAACTTAGCAGATATTGAAATAAATTAATAATTTATGCTTGTGAAAACAGACAAAAACAGAAGAAGATGAATTGACAGCCACCACCATGTAAAGATAATGTTATTTTGTAGTACGAATTATTTTCTAAACTTCCAGTTCCAGCCCACCACCGTCCCCAGCTGTTGTAAAGATAATAATAGAAAATATTGTCACTGTTCGAGATTTATTCTTTAAAAATTTATTTTTCTCAAACTTATTTTCTCAATAAAATAATTTCATACGTGAATTTAATTTTTTCTTCTAATTTTTAACCACATTCTAAAAAAATAGGGTTAAATTGGTCACCCAATTTTATACTTAGTGTCACAATGACCATCCAATTTGATTTTGTTTCACTACGACCGCTCAACTTTATAATTAGTGTCATAATGACCACTAAATTTGATTTTATTTCACTAAAGTTATCAAATTTCATATAACGCTTCCCTATGGCTACCCAATTTCATATAACATTTCACCAGGTCACTCAACTTCTTTTTACCATTTTCATTAATTTTAAAACGGGTAAAACGATAAATTTGCATTATATATATAAAATAAATTTTTTAAAAAAGAAATTAAATTAAAAACTTAATTTTAAAAAAAACTTAAAACGTTAATTTTAAAATAAGTTTTTTATTTTATTTTATTTTATTTTATTGTTTTAAGAAATTTTTTAAAATAAGTTTTTATTTTATTTCTTTTTTTTAAATAAGTTTTTAAATAAGTTGAGTGGTTTTGGTGAAACAAAATCAAATTGAGTGGCCATGGAAACACCAAATATAAAGTAGGGTGGTCATCAGTAAATTTAACCCCAAAAAACACTATTACAATTTATTTTTTTTAAAGTGAAAATCAAACAAATCCGATGAGTCCGTTTGGCTGAACTTCTTTTTTGCTTATATTTTTTGTAGAAGAGTTCCTAAGAAATCTATTTTACGTCACTTTTCTTTAAAAAAAACTATTAAACAAAGCACTTTCATAAAATTATTCAAATATATTCAAAACATCTTCTTAATTTCAGAAATAATTTTTATTTTTCAAAAGTCCGATCAAACGACCTCTTCAATCATAACAGTCACTAACTTTTTAAGTTCTTCATATATTTCGGCGCTTTTAAGACAAAATGAATTATTTATTCAAACTTTTTAGATTTTAACATCATACTATTTAGTAAAGTTTCATGATAGACAATATGAACTTTTGCATCAATCGAGGAACAGTTTTTACATATTCTGCATCAATCGAGGAAACAGTTTTTACATATTACCTTCATTAAAATTATAATATATTTTTTCTCTCTTCTTACAAATCACACGTTTTTCAATAAAATAATATTACACGTAAATTTTTTTTTTTTTTTTAACAACACACTTTTCAAAGACACCCTATTATAAAAATTATAATATCAAAGAATCACTCACTCTCTTGGAAAAACAAAAAATGAAGGGCCATTTTGTATTTATAAGCACATTGAACCATTTAATCTTATTGTGAAAAATTCATAAACCATAGAAAAGGGTATTTTTCATTTTTTGAAATCATCAATCATAATCATTCCAACACGCAAAAACATTATATATTCATATCTATATCACGTGCTTATATTTATTCAATGTTTAGTGTCCTATATTGTCCCTCACTTCTAAACCTTAAAAAAAGAAAGATAATTAGTAGAGTAGGTTCGAGTAGATTTATGTTGAAAATTGACGTGTATCTGCACACAACCAATGATACGTGCAGTTTTTGAGGTTAATTCTATATTATTAATATTAAATCATTAATTGTCCATAATGTGTTTTGTCTGCATTGTCAACAATTTAAAAAAGAATAATAATAAAAAAAAATCAATAACCACCCTAAACTTTAATAAAATGTTAATTACAACGAAATTGCTAAATGTACAGCCCGAGCTGTACAGCTCGGGTCACAGCACCCTCACAAACCTGCGGGCCCCGCCCCTGAATTTGATTATTTTAATCGTGGGCCCCACCCCTGAATGTGAGAGGGCTGTCACCCGAGCTGTGAGTGTAGGAAAGTTCCAAAATATGAGCTTAAAATTTTTTTTAATTAAAAAGTATATTGTATTTTAATTAAAAATGGGTAACTAAACCAAGCTCAATCAGTCAAGGATCATGCTACACTTACAGACAACTGGTTTACAGATGTCTTACGGACACTCACAAAGATTTTTAATAATATAAAATTAAGTCTTTAAAAATACTATTTTACCCTTCTTCTTTATATTTGCAGGATATATCCTTTATCTTTTA